TTATTTCCCTTGCCAGTGCAGTTATTGTCTGTCATAAGTGCTAATAAGGTATACTTGATAAATTATCGCGTCTGTTTCTAATAACTGACCAGTTTCGAGAGCTTGTATCACGGTCTAGGATTGAAATGGATGACTGTGGTTTGATCTGTATATAGAGGTTGGAATTTTCTCTTGACTGCTAGCAGAATGAGTTGATGTGTAAGTTATAAAGGTAATGTTTTTTGAGCAGCGTTTTCGGGGTAACATCATGAAGTTCTCTCAAACATTATCATTCGAGCACTCTGTTGATAACATAAGTGACTGAAAGCCAGATAGCATTCCTCGGTTTGCTCTTATACCTTATAAAGGAACGATGGATGACCTGAGTCGAGTTTCACTCAGCATTAGGTTCACTTGAACTTTAACTACTTTTGAGTTGAACCGAAATGATAGCAACTGACTTGATTCGATTTCGTTTTCAAGACATTCAGTCAGAATTTATCCGTGTTATCCTATTTCGGATTGTACGATTGAATATGGGCATTGAAATCTCGGTTTGTGTGAATATTTGTTTGATTGCCCCCTTGTTGTTGTTTATTTAATTACTTCGCGTTGTTCTTTTGGCGACTGTTTCATGCGGTCGTCACCGTATTCATCCCCTCGTTGATTATCATCGTGTTTTTGATGCTGTCACGCCAGGCATAACGGAGGAAAACATTGCTAGGGAAGGTTTGGTGGCATTTCATGAGCGAGGTAGAATCGCAAGGTGCATAGGCACCCTGCTTGAAGCCCTCGGGTACAAATCGGTGTCACATGTTAGGGTCAGGCTTGAGTTTGATGCTTTTGCCTGGAAGTAAGCTCAGTTCTTTGCTGAGATTGGGATATATTTGAAACTACGAATGGTGCGTGGCGTGACAGCTGCATAAATGTTTTTTCACGTGTTAATACACATTACCACAAGCTATCGGTATTTAGAGTGTTGAGTTTAGAATCGCCGCGACGGCAGCTAGTGTAGTTTTATACCAGTAAGTTTGGAGGGATTGAGCAGCTGAATAGGTTGTGTTCTTAAAACGATTGCTTGCATCGTAGCTAGGAAAGAAGAACCTGCAACTGAAAGGGTTTTCGAAATATCAATTTGAGAAGCAGTTGCAACACACTGTTAGAGATACAGCAAAATATGACTGATCTGGCCGATCATAGATTCAGGAAAGTTTCATGAAAAGGTAGCCACGCATATCTTAGGCATAGTAAAACAAATCCGGGGGAGTGAATTAGGATGTTCCGAAAAACATGGTGGTGTGACACTCGATTAGGATGATGGATTCCCTTTAGAGAAAACTGAGTCTATGAGAAACAATTCTTCAAATGTCGTTTAGCACAGAGTAGGAATATAGACGCAACAACGAATACAGCATTTATAGTATGACGTTTAATGCATGCAAGAGTGAATCACAGAATCAGGTCAGTAGGCTTGAATGAGCATCAGTGTTTGATAATGAGAAGTATGTACAGAAAAAGCTGCCGTCCATGACTTCTGCTAGATTTTTCCATTTGTGTAGAGTTTGTGTCATCAGAAAAAGCCTCGCCACTTCCCCTCGGACGCCGTAGGTGACGTTTCGTATCAGGATTTCGCACAGTATCTGAACAGTGATTCTGGTTTTACATGTCCATCTTTCTTTCTATAAAACAAAAACTGAGTGAGGTGATTCGTGAACGTAACCACACAAGAACGATGGAATCTGAAATAGTGAAGTTGTGTTCAGACGGATGTTGTTTTCGTAGCTATGAATTGATTGGATTTGAGATTGATGAGAATTACGTTGATTATTTACTGCTACAAGGTGATATTAGCAGTGGACAGCTTGATTCGTTTATCTAATCCAGGAGGTGCTACTCCCATTGGTTGCATTAACCGTGGGCGTGGTTAATTACCGTAATCATTCAGCTCCGGAGGTACTAATCCCGTTAGATGCCTTAACTGTGGGCGTGGCTAGTCACCGGAGCCATTTCACCCCAGACGTACTGCTCCCGTTGCTTGCTTTTATTGTGAGCGCTGCTAAACTTCCTAGAACGTTTCATCAACGTTGATTTTTCGCGTTTCAGCGCTCTCAGTTCGCTGGAGACTCTAAAATAAGGCCATATCAGCAGGACGTATCCTCAAATTCAAATCGCCATAAAGTAGCAAGGATCGAAATTGCCTTTCAAAATCTTTTGTTTTCAATTTTAAATTGAATATTTTGTCTCGTTTTGCTCCTTGACTTCGACAGTTCTCGCCAATGCCCTACAACCCACCGTTACTAAAAACACAGGATGAATTACAGCAAAATTGAAGTAACTGCATGATATAACCACAACTCGCCAATACTCTCACTGATTATACACCGACTGATGCAACGCAAAATGTAGCACAGACAACGTTCCAGACTCCTGAAGATTTATTTGACAATAATCATCTCATTAGCGATAACAGCACTATACAGTTTGAATAATAATACAAAATAATGATTTAACAATAACAATAATAATATTAAAAAGTCGCTTCATAAAACAAAAAATGAAAAGAAGATAACCAGTGCAAATGCAACATCAAACGGAGATGATACGACGAGCATGTGTGGAAGCTAATGTTCAATTCTATTCATTTCAACGGCAAAATGATTCGCGAAATAAACAGGAACAACTTACATTTAAACAAAACGAACAAAGCATCGAACTATATGCTTACTTGCCATTCGAAGACAACATCACCCAAATTTACAAAGAACGTGCAAATCACTAAAAAATCGTGGTCTCAATCGGGAAAAAGCCTTATTTCACCCACTTAATTTCACTCACTCCATAAAATGGTTTCAACAAAAATTATACCATTTCGCAATAAGTAATTACGAAAATTCTTACAAATATCATGATACCACTCTTACAAATATTATTATGAACTGAATGGTTTCAGACGTGTTTAAATGTAAGTTGTTACATAGATATGAACTGAATAGGTTGGAGATTAATAAGAATAAGGTTAATTATGTATTACTGCAAGGTTATGCTAGTAGTGGACAGTTTCATGCAGTCATCTAACCCCAGAGGTGCTCTACCTGTTGGTTACGTTAACTTTGCGCATGGCTACTTACCGTAATCACCTACCAACGTAGCTACTGCACATAAAAACATGAATTTCATTGAGCAGTTCTGCTTAGTTGAGGAGATATACCGTCTTATCAGGTTTCCCAAGAAACATATTGATGTTTATTCATTAGTCGATTGAGCAAAATCTCTGCTTTCTGAAAATGAAAAATCGCCGAGAAATTTTGCCTCTACGAGGAGACATAGCTATTTTTCTAATGCTATACGGGTGGCCAAATTCAAACCTACCGTACTCTCAGCTTTGACCAGTAACATATCAATTCCTTCACACCAATCAATCGAGCAGAATCTCCGAATTCAAAAAGAAAATATTTTGTCGGGCGATTCTGCTTTGTTGAGAAAACATTTTGAATCGGAACTGATTAATAGTATGATGATATTTTCTGAACAACTGGACCTTTGCATCCAATTTCAACATTTCAAACACTGTTATGCAAAATTGCGATGAATTGGAAATTTTCATGAAAGGAAAAATTTCCATTGTTCGACTGTTTCAATCCCTTTGAGCTATGCAAGTGAACCTGTTACGCTGTGCTTCCGCAGCTGTGCGGTTTTCTGGGGCTGTAGTTAAACTACGATTCGTTCGAAGACTCTTGTCAACGGATAAATTGCAGACGAAAGAATGAGGCCGAAAGCTAAGGGCGAAATGCGTTCATTTTATGAATGTGAGTCAAACAATCTTATTCAAATCTCTCCAAAAAATGTCACTGTATCAGAAGTCTCCATCGATCTCGATAGAGATTGTGATTTTGCGAACACAACAGGAAGGACTATCTCTTCGTCCACATAAAATCATTAATTCAAGGGTCTGAGTCATAATTCAGAGTGAGAATTTGCGTGCAGAATATATTGATTCAGGTCAAAACTCTCCATCTTTGACAATGTTAACGAGGCCCGAGAATGCAAATCAAATGGATACTGCAATGGTGAGTGAGGTTTGAGTCCATCTCGAGGAATTGAACCTGTAAATATGATCGTATAGTTCAAATTCTCCATGTTTCCTCGCAATTAACAACCAAAAAGGAAGTGTTGTATATTTCCAATCTGTCTGTACACTTCAGAATGCGAATTTGTCGAAATCTGCGGTGGAAAGGGAAATGAAACGGCAGAAACGAGCGAATGAGAAGATGAAAAAACTGGTTGGATATTTCAGTGTAGATCCTGTCTACGTCTACTGTTTGATGTTACAAAGTGATAATGACACATGCAGCAATGAAATCAGGAAATGCATCGTTTCGGAATTGTTTACTATGAATTTCAGGTTGATCCTTGGATTGAGCAAACATTAGCCAAAGGAGTTTTGGGTCTTCAACAAGAATTTGCCGATCTCACTGGCACCGTAGATCCCACACTGATGAAATCGTTCTTTCAGAACACTTCAACTGGTCGTAACAGATATCGGGTGAGATGTTATGTAGTGTAACTTCTACTGATATCAAACAAAACTTGAAGTCATTGAGATCTGAATGTGCGTAACACCTTTATTACCGTTCACAGCTTCCTGAAGATCCGGTCAATTGATTGTCGGGTCCTTCAAATGGTCCAA